CCCCCAAGGGGGCCCCCTGGGGTGCATGCAGACTGAGAGAGTCGTCGAGCAGCAGCCTAAAAATAAACACAAAAAAGAAAACCAATTTAGGGTTTAGGGTTTTGTTTGATTCTCCCTAAGGGGGCCCCAGGAGTGCCGGGAGCCCCCCAAAAATAACTCCCAAAAAGGGCACTCCGGGGAGCCCCTGGGAGCCCCCAAAAGGGTACAGTGGACCCCTGGGGGCCCCCTGGGGGCCCCCAGGGGGCCCCGTGAAGGGCCCCAGGTTGAATGTATGGCTGCCCCGACATTCTTGGGGCCAAGGATTTAGGGTTTAGGGTTTACCTGATAAGGGCTTCTGCTGCAGGGACCTCAGCAGCAAACTCGATGCCGTCTTCCCCTGTGGGGCCCCCGCGGACGCAGCTAATGGAATACTCCTTGCTGCTACTGCTGCTGCTGTTGCTGCTGCTGCTGCTGCTGCTGCTGCTGCTGCAAACAAAACCCACAATGTGCTTCCGTGAAGACGCTTGCGCCTTTGCTTCACTCAGGCCGCAGCAATTTTCCCTAAACCCTAGACCCTAACCCCTAAACCCTAAACCCTAAACCCTACCTGCAGAGGGGCAGCGTCAGGCTAAGAAACCACGCAGACATAAAGGGGGTTCCCAAAACCTCCGAAGGGTTTAGGGGCTCCCCCCACACATCGCACAAGTCAGCTCTAAACCCTAGCTCCAAACCCTCCGCCGTCCTGAACCGCAAACCCTAACCCTAAACCCTAAACCCTAAACCCTAGACCCTTAGCCGTACGCCCCAAATCCCATCTCCATGCTAAATAAACTCCGACCCCCAACCCCCTCAACCCCAAACCCCAAACCCTAAACCCTAAACCCTGGACCCCAAACCCTAAACCCTAAACCCTAAACTGACTTTCTCTGTACTCCCTCAACTTGTTGCGCAAAGCGCTGCATAGAGAGGGGCCCCTGCAGCGAGAGGAGGGCGGTTTTGGCCGAGGGTTTGAAGGAGAACCTCAAACCGCTTTTCCTTAGCAGATCGCACACCCAAACCCTAAACCCTAAACCCTAAACCCTAGATGAGGGGCGCTCGGGCGCGCGCGAGCCGGCGCCAGCGCCGCTCCGGGACCTGCTGCTGGCCGCCCTCTCCGGCCCAGGGCCACTGCCTAGGGCTTAGGGTTTAGGGTTTAGGGTTTAGGGTTTACGAGCAGAAGTTGGCGAGCTCGGCCAAGTGCTCGAACACGTGGGAGGGGGCAAAACCCGAACCCCAAACCTCCACAACTTCTTTTGTCTTAACCACTAAACCCTCGTCGAGAATTAAACCCTTGGAGTCCAGCAGCAGCGCAGCACTGGCCTCCCCGGACTGCAGCAAACCCACCCAAACCCTAAACCCTAAACCCTAAACCCTAGACCCTCGCTGCACCCAGCAGCGCGCCCCAGCGGCAGCAAGGGCGGCAGCAACAGCAGCAGCAGACTTTCCAGCGCCAGCAGCACTCGCAGCAGCACCAGCAGCAGTGCAGCACTAACAGCAGCAGCAGCATTACCAACAGCAGCACTGCAGCACTAACTGCAGCAGCAGCAGCAGCAGCAGCAGCACC